TTCCTAGTAGTATTGCCACGAGCAAGTGTATAGCCATGCCCTTGTTAGTAGTTCGAGGTCAAGTGGGCACGGATCACTTGGCGCAGCTTTGGGCCACCATGTTAGAGAGTGCCGGCCTCACGGCGAATACCTTCGCAGCTGCTTGTCTTCATTGGCTATGGGGCACCAATGCGCCACTAGCTGCTAGGCGCTTGGATGTCATTCTTTTATATAATGCTTTTTGCAAGGGGGCTGCTTTTGAGAGATGCTGTGAGATCAGGTTGATCCTGGTCAAATATTGTTCGTGACCTACAGGCCTTGCAGTGCAGTTTGTTTCGGCAGTATCGTGCTTCAGGGTAGCAGTTCTTACCAGAAGCTTGACGTGAGTGCTGACTCATTCTCAGCAGACAACAGACACGTTGAGTTTGTCAGAGCTTGCCCCAGGCCCAAAGAGGCCAATGACATCAAAGAGCCACTTGGCGAAGCTGTTGAGGTTGTTGTTTGGCCAGAGTCTGCAATGCACAGACACAATCTCGCAAAAGTCACTCGTGTCATCTTGAGTCTGTGTCAAGCTTATTTTCATTTGGAACCTCCCGCATGCCACAAACGAATAGATTAGGTTTGTGCTGACTCAGCCTCATGTCGACTTCTTTGAGCAAAACCAGCAGCACCCTGGCAACACATTTGGCTTGGTGGCTTCAATCTGGCAAGGTTTACCAAGAAGTTCGGTTTGCGATGTGCACTGAGCTTGGCCCTAGGTTGCTCCAAACAACTGAGCACCTTCCAATGAATAGCTCATTTGCGCGACTGAGGCGGTCCTTCCCAGCTGGCCGTTTTGAGCCCTGGGTGCCGGATGCTTTGCGTAAAGAGCGGCTGAAGACCATGAGGCCAGGATGTGTACACACATTATACGCACATACGTAATCATGCGTACATAATGGTACATAATTATAGCTACTAGGGCTACTAGTCCCGAGAAGCGTTCTTTTTGTTGTGGGTCAATTAGCAAGAACTGTTTCATTGCCAGCCTACAGAAACCTTGGCCTGTTGGAAGCTCCGGGCCTGCCCGCGCCTGGGTCGAACTTGTGCACTGAGGAGATTAAGAGTAAGCATGGAATACAGTCTGGGGCGGTACCAAAACGAAAATCGTGTCATTGATCAAACGGGTCTGGCGGTGGGTGGCAAACGTGTGAAACGTCTTATTGTTCAATTTTCGATCACACTTTGCAAATCGTTTGAATGATCGGCATTCCAAAGAACCACTTGTTTTGGTCAGGATTTTTACATCACACCACCAGGTTAACTATTCTTAGTCGAATGTTTGAGCTTGATTTGCAAAGTGTGATCGCAAATTGAGCAGCGCCGTAAACCTCCCCTTACATTTTTGTTAAGAGCTTGGTCATAAGGAGGGTTGGCGTAAGCAAAAGTCTGCTGCGCGTAAGGTTGCGTAAGTTTTTTTCAACATAACCAGTGGCGTAAGGCCCAATCAATGAAAACAAGTTGTTTTTATGAACCAAGGAATGATCAGACATGGCGTAAGGTCCGCGTAAGCACTGCGCAAAGACAACTTCGATTTCTAATCAGTTGCCCACGCATGGCGCCAGCTCAGACTTTGAGCAGGCAAGCAAGAAAGCGCAAGCGCCAGAGTGAGGCCATGAAGTCTGACCAGGTGTTTGATGCAGAATCCACATCGTCCTCATCAAGCATATTATCTAGTCACTTTGCAAGTAGTGCTGCGTGAAAATGGTCGCTTGCCTTGTGTGTGTGTATCTATCCTGCTATGAACTCATCTTCGCGTAAGCTTTTCTCTTGGAGGGGTGTGGAAATTTGAGTGCAGTGCTCTGGCGTAAGCCCTTTCTACCACAAACCAGACGTGTAAGCTAAAACTGTGCGCGCGCAAGGAAAGCGTGAGTCTCAGCGTAAGACTTCCCATACGACCTTTCAATCTATCAAGGTTTCCAGCACAGCTCAATTGAACAATGACATTTCACACGTTTGCCACCCACCGCCAGACCCGTTTGATCAATGACACGATTTTCGCTTTGGTACCGCCCAAGTGTAAGTATCAAAGCACTCAACATATTACACTTTGCTGCGTTCAATGGTGTGTTGATTGAATATTTTGCAATAAAATTGTGCATTTGTTCGTGCGACCATCATTGGTTCGGTAGATCACTTTTCCGGACAGAGCCCAATCCCAAGACTACTAGCTCACTCGAGCCTACTGGCTGATTGCTTGTCAAAAAGACGATGCACTCAGTAAAGAAGATGCAACTAGCCTTCACAGAGAGCAATCGGAAGAAGAAACTGGAGAAGGAGGAGCTCAGGAGGTCCTGGAGTGTTCACAATTATTATTGTTACCACTTTGTTGTTGTGATCCTGTTCCCCCTCCCATCTACACTCTTACCAGGCCAGCACACCGAGATCTGCGGCAGAAGAGGCAAAAAATAATGATGCCGTGCGTGCTTGGTTGGCTGCAGCTGCTGAAGGCCTACTTATATACTCTGATGTAGAGTCTGTAGAGCGAAATGCCACGCACGCATTTCAATTGAGGCACTATCTCTATGTTGGCGCCAAGCACCGCGCACTGGCCCAGTACTCAGTAGCAGTGTGTTCGAGAAGCCCTGTTGGCACCAGTGAAGGGGATGCTGTTTAAGTTGTTGACTGGTTGTTGAGAAGGGGGGTTGGTGTGGACATTTATTTTTATTTAACGCTTTGAATGTGTGCTTGGAAGACTGTGATGATGAAACCCATGCCAAGGTTGGGCTCTATTTTGGGACGCTGCGCTCTCAGCATGAGTGCCTCATTTGAATGCAATGTGCTTTTCAATATGCACAGGACTCTGGACACCAGGCGTGCAGCGCGCGTGTGTGTGTGTGTATATATATTTATACTCAGACTTTGCCTCCGAAACAGACTTTTGGATTATCCACTTCAGTTGCGAGGTTTGACCCGCTGCACGAGAACCACTTTCGCTTGGTATTGTGTGTTGGAACCTCGGCTGTCAGCACTTCTCGACTCAAAGTCCATTTGCGCCACAACATGTTGGGAGACTTTTTGTCATGTCGAGACTTCTTGTCCGAGAAAGATCGAGAAAGGGCCCGTTTTGCATTGCCTCCACCGGGGGTGCACGGAAGGCCTTGAGAACGTGCGGTCTTCGGCGAGTGGTGCCTGGACCCCTGAACTGTGTTGACCAGGGTGGCGACAAGGTCCTGTCAAATTGTCTTCTTGCGACTTGCGATGGAGCCAGAACTCATCACTGACGAACACCAACTGTTGCTTGCCTTTTGCTGAGGCTAGTGCCCAATCAAGGAAGCCTGTGGCCCAGGTTGTGCTTGATGGCTTTCCATTTTGAGCGTCCCAAATGGTTTTTCCTACATTGACCGATCAAGATCCGCGAGGCAATCCTTACAAGCAAGGCTGCACCCCAATGTCGGAGCGTGTGGCGTGCATCAAGGCCCTTCGTGAGACATTTGTATACATGTTTCGGTTCATGTATTCCATCCAAGGAAGGCTCATCAGCAGTCCCAGGCTGATGTTTTCTGATTGGTTGGCTCACTGCTTTCAAGAGCAGGAACGCATCAGAATTGCAGAGGAGGCTGGTGAACTTGAACCAGGAGTCATGCTTGACTGACTGATGTCATTGCACACTTTCCATTATTGATTAAGACCCCGATGTCAAGAGTCAGACATATCAGAATGTGGTGAGGTCGGCCAAGATGAGAATCACGTGAACATGTTTCAAAGAGGCTCAACTAGCCACATGAACTCGAGGAGAAGTGATCGTGCGCAAAGAGGCAGGTGCCAACAACTGGCCGCAGCGTGGCGAGCCCAGCCCGCGTGACTTGTTTTCCCCTCAAACTCACACCAGTTCCTGTCAGAGCTTTGGTAAAAAGATATAGCAGGCAAATTTGTATAAGTATAAATTGTTCAATCCCGGATGCTGTTAGTACTACCTAATTTTACACTTGGCTGAACCCTGAATCCATGAGTCTAAGATAGTCTGAGCATATCACATCCCAACCCTTCAAATTTAAGTATCTACCTCAATGGTGTGTGTGTGTGTGTCGGAAATCCTTGGAGTCACAGGGATTCCTTTGAATTTGCTATTCTTTTAGCAGGGGGACCATCCATGTGCTGTGAGCGATGGTCCAACGAAGCGGCCACAGTACATGCGGATATCACGGCTGATCACCGGTGTGACTTCCGAACGACCAGCGATGATCAGACCCCCCTTACATGCCTTCTCAGGATTTGGGTGCCTAGGTTGCAGTGTGGTGAGTGGCATTCAGTTCCGTACGGTTTTTCCCATGTGTGTGTGATCGTCCACCAGCATGATGTTTCAGAATTTGTTATCACTTGGGCACTTGCTTTCCAATGCAAAAAGGAGAGAACCGTGCGGTGGTAAATGGTCTCCTTAACAAGGCCGTTACTTTACAAGTGCCTTTTGTAAGATGCCCTCGTTGAACATTTGAACATATTTTGTTGTGGAAACTGGTCACTATCCGTATCAAGGGCACCGCTACACCAGTAACAAGGGCACTACTGCTAGCAGTAGTAGCTAGAAGCTACGAGTAACAAGGGCATCGCTTCAGAAGCTTGGTTTCCAAGGCGAGAAGGTGGCACAAGCAGTTGAAAGAGAGGAGTTTGCAGATGCCACTGTACCCGACCCAAAAGGTGCCGAGAGCTATACCGTTCTACCGACCTCTACAGCTGACAGCTATGTGTTTTGCATTCAATGCGTTTTGACCTAGATTGATGCCAAACATATGCCACCATTGCTCTTTGAGCTGCTTCCCCATGACTTTTCCAGTGCAGTTGTAATTAATACAGAGGGACCCCATGGGGCTGTTGCTCGGCCTTGATCACCAGTCTCAGAGATGCATTCTGTTTGATCCTTTTTTGCATTCTGCGAGTCTGCGAGAGCCTCAGGTTACCGCCAATGTGGTGTTGCTGTTGGGCGAGGACGTGTAGGGCGTAAGCTGTTTTTGATTGTTTTTGACATATATATATATATATTTGTTTTGTCTCCGTTGAAGCACTGCTAGTGGTTTGGTAATGTCATCCATTCAATCGGCTTTTGCACGATCATGGGTCACGCGCACACACACGGATACGTGTATACATAAATATATTTACACATCGTACATACATATATATATATAGATGCCGAATGAATCATGTCAAGGATCCCAGGGGTCATGCGAATCATGTGGAAGAAGGGCTGGTCCACCGTCACCTGGCACAGGACTCATTTTCAAAGTCTTTAAGTCAGGCCCGGGCACAGGGGTAGAATCTAGGGCTGTGCGAGCCGAGCCGCAAACTGGGCGGATGTTTCGCAAGTCCCTGACCTTGACACATTGAATGGTGGCAGGCAACTGGGAAGCACAAAAACGTGGGCATTTTTCAACTCCAGAGCAGACCCAGGCGGCTCATTGCCACTTGGCATTTTCTGCAACACTTACATTCAGGAGCATTGGCTGATGTGCTTCTTTTGCCTGTCACTTCGATGAGCATAGTGTACCCCACTGGAACTGGAAGTGGAAGTGGAACTGGAACTCCCCCTCCCCCGGAGAAAAAATAATCATCCACGCTAAACTGACGTTAAAAATCACGTCCAGACCCGGACCGAGTTGGAACTGGAAGTGGAACTGGAACTGGAACTCCTCCCCCCCGGATAAAAAAATCATCCACGCTTAACTGACGTTGGGAATCACGTCCAGACCCGGGCCCACAATTGGAAGTGGAACTGGAACTGGAACTCCCCCCCGGAAAAAAAACATCCACGCTAAACTGACGTTGGCAATCACGTCCAGACCCGGGCCCACAATTGGACCTGGAAGTGGAACTCGAACTGGAACTGGAACTCCCCCCCCCCCCCCC